TCTAAACGTAGGCATAATTCTCTCTTTTTCTTTGAAATAGTTTTGTGAAAAGCTCAATAACAATACATAAAATCATGGGTGACGATAAGAGGTGGAGTCAGAATTTTCATTAATATTGGTCAAAATATAAAGAAATAAACACATGAGAAATAGAAAGGAGTTGAACCTCTGCTATATATACCTAACGAAAAACTTTAGCCATATATAAAAAATGTAATTTTCTATTGAAGGACATTCGAATGGCAAAACAAATGAATGATATTAGATATCGACATATTAAAAATAGGATAGACACACGAAGTAGTCGATGTAGACACACGAAGTAGCTGAAGGGGGTTCGATATCTACTATATATACATAAAAATTTATTTCGACTATGTATAGTATAATTTTTCGCCAAAGGTGGTTCAGATGAATCCCCCTAATACAAAAATGGTGGTGTTATAGGTAATAGCTAGCTAGTGGCGATGATAGTAAACAGTAAGGATTGATGGTGACAACTAATATTTATGATGGATAATAATGATATCTAATGACGAGGGCAATGATGGGTGGTTGTTTTGATAATCGTAAAAGGTCGCTAGTTGTGATGACTTATGATTGTAGTAATTGACAAAAATGATGGGTGATGGTCGTAAACACTGGTGGGCGGCCGTGCAGTAGCCAATAGTTGATAATAGCGGAAGATGACAATATCTCATATTATAATCTCCGTATATCTCAATATCTAACATATCTTTTTATTTTTATCGATCAAATTTATGTAAATATTGAGACACACTATATTTTCTACGGTAGAGCTAAGGATATGATTGATGAGTTTAGGCGAATTTAATAACTTTGGTTTAAATTTTATAATTTTGAAATTTATTAAACATACATAAATTATCAAAATTAAAATACAATAACTTAGAAACTGAAAATTTGAACCCATAAACTTTAAATTTTAATTCCGATTATTCATGTTTGACATAAAAAAAATGTCCAAATCCAAAACGCGTAAAATATATTTGGACCAAAGTCTAGTGTATTTTAGCAAACAAGAAATAATAAATTAGTAGATCTTTTTCTATTTAATTTCTTCTTAGGGATTGCTAGCACTTCCAAGTTGAAAAAAAATAAATCAAGTGGTACAAATATAATTCTAGTCAAATTAATTTGGACAACGTACAAAAATCTTACTAGTTTATTTGTTAATTATTTAGATACATTTTATAGTATTATGACTCTTAATTATCAGATTTGGTGTGTCGAGATACACGTATCTTGAGATACATGGTGTCAAAGTCTGTATTTGTTCTAGATAGACGATTACATACAAATCTAGCTCGCTTCCTTCCCATCTTACTCGCCGTTCTCCTATGTATTTGGTATTCCGGATATACGTGAATCATACAAGATACATACTAGATACCTATATTTGTATGTATCTGGTGTAATTCGCATGTATCTGAGATACATGACTATCTCACTCGTTTTTTTCCATCTTGCTCGCTTCTCTCCCTATTTAGTGTTAATACTTCCTCGATATATGACATTAAACTCTTAATCTATGATATGATACGTAACCATTTGAATAATATTATAGTTTTCCCGATTAGATTGTTTTTCATTTTTATTTTTACTTTGATAAGAAGAAAGATTAAATTAAAACCAAAGATTACATATGAAAAATTTATTTAAATTGTCTTTTTTAATTAATAATTTCTTTAAAAACATGTCAAAGGCAAACATATTAAGTAAAATAATGGACGAGAGGTGAAAATCTCCATTCGATTTTACAATATATGATTTTTTCTCTCTCCATTTTCATCGAATCAATTTATTAAAAAAAAACACAATACAAAATATATTTTTACTGAAATAGTGGAAAAGTTCTTAATTTTCCGAAAAATATTATTTATTTTTTTCTAATCGATTCAATCAAATACCCATGAGAATAACCATAATTGTGATTTTTAGGGGTGATTATTTATTAAAACAATATTTGGTTAAAATTATTATTTTTTTATTTTTCAAAAAAAAAAATTGCTTGAAAAATCCATGCATGTGCATTTTCAGTTGAAAAATATTGCATTTTTTTTTTACATTTTTCAAGAAGCATTTTAAGAGTGACATTTTTACCAATAGAATATTTTGACACATTTATTAGACGGTTAAAATGTAAACTATGATTTTTCTTTCTAATTCTATATAGATTGCCACTTGATATAATAGATGGTCCTAAATATTATTAATATATGGTCCTTTTTTTTCTTTCTACAAGCTACACAAAAAAAAAGAAGGTTTTATTATAATTAGGGGCGAAAATACACGCAACTTGTTTGATGATTTTACTGGTTGAACTCAAAATGATTCATCAATTAATCGAATCAAAATAAAATAAAAAAGTATAACTCACGAAGGTCAATATGTAACCCAATCGAAATAAGTATAAGAGAAACTTACATAAATATATTATAATAAAAAAATATTTATCATTTATAGTAATAATATTTTTTTCACTTTATCAGTTTTTTAATTCATTTATAATACAAGTTTAATATATATTACAAAGAACAATTTATTATTCACATATAATACAAGTTTTAATGATGGATAATACATTTATCACACATTTTAATACATTTATAATACAAATGTGTCAAATTTTACCAAACAAATATAATATATTTCAAAAAAACAATTATAATTTATATATATTGCATACACAATTCACTTTTAATTCATATTGCATAATTTAACATAATATTGCTATAAATGATAATAAATAAAAAAAATATCGCTAAAATTAGTAATTATTTTTTAAAATGTACTAATTTATGTAATTTTTCTTAAGTATAATATATTAGAAAAAATATGTCCCTTTGAAATCCATTTTTTTTCTCTACAAATAAGTTAGACAAATTACCGATTAATATTTAATTAGGGAACAATTATAAATATGGTCAATTTCGAGTTATTTTGTATCATCCACGTGACTGAACATTCATCGCTATTTTAACGAAGCTCGTAGCTAACTTTTTGTGCTCGTAGTGTTAAATTATTGACTCTGATACTAGTTCTCAGAGGTTAACCAACCCTAAAATATACTTTTTAACGTACTATCGATCATTGTAATGACCCGTTTAGTCGTTTTG